TGCTCATCATTGAACCAAGAACCATGAACATCAATCTGAGTGCCCTGGAAGAAGGAAGCAAGTTCTCTAGTGTCCCAGTCGACAGTGGATAGAGCCGGTGTGGCACACAAAACTCTAGTGTCCCAGTCGACAGTGGATAGAGCCAGTGTGGCACACAAACAGTCTCTTTGGGCAAATAACACATCTGGATGTACTTGTCTTTGTTTGAGGACAAGTAAAGAAAGAAAACAAGCCTAAAATATGTGGCCCATGTTTAAAACATGGGAGATAAAGTGAAAGGGATAGTATCATGGAGAACATATCTGAATGTGGATTATTGGAAGAAAAGAAATTACAAAAGAGTATTTGAGAAAACTCCATACACATTTTAATAGGGTGCAGGAGGCTGGGCACAGTGGCTTACGCCTGTAATCCCAGCACTCTGGGAGGCCAAGGCAAGAGGATGGCTTGAGGCCAGGAGTTTGAGGCCAGCTTGGGCAACATAGCAAGTTCTGCCTCTACAAAAAATTTTAAAATTAGCCAGGCATGGTGGCACACACCTGTAGTCCCAGCTACTCAGGAGACTGAGGTAGGAGGATTGTGGAGCCCATGAATTCAAGGCTGCAGTGAGCTATGATCTCATCACTGCACTCCAGCCTGAGTGACATAGTGAGACCCTGTCTCTGCTTAAAAAAAATAAATATGCACAATCTCTGTAAAAGAGGAACATAATGCCATTTGAACAAACAGGTTGAAAGGAAAAGCAAGCAGAATGAGATTTTTTTAAATGATAGTGGGCTATATAAAGAGACAGAAAAGATGAAAGATGGTGGACAAGTAAAACATGCCAGTTTCCCGTAAGGAAATTTATAGTACATAATTAAAATATTCAACAAACAGCAGAATTGACATTGTAGAAAATCAAATCAGTGCTGTGCAAGAATCCTGGGAAGCTCTTCTAGGATGCAGACAAAAGGACAAAACGATGGTGATGAAAGAGAGAATAATGAAAATGGAAGACTGGGAACAGGATATAAATTGAGAATAATAGCTTTGTCCTAAGGATAAAAGAAAAAATTGAAAAAGCACTAATTCAATATGATAGGACCAAATTTATGGAGCGTTCAAATGAAAAGGAATGCACTCTGTTCCTACAAAATTAACTGAAAGAAGTCTGTGTTTAGAAACATTCTGGGCCGGGCGCAGTGGCTCACACCTGTAATCGCAGCCCTTTGGGAAGCCGAGGTGGGCAGATCACCTGAACTCAGGAGTTCAAGACCAGCCTGGGCAACATGGTGAAACCCCATCTCTACCAAAAATACAAAAAATTAGCCAGGCATGGTGGTGGGCACCTGCAGTCCCAGCTACTCTGGAGGCTGAGGCACGAGAATCGCTTGAACCCAGGAGGCGGAGGATGCAGTGAGCCGAGATTGCACCACTGCACTCCAGCCTGGGTGACAGAGTGAGACTCCGTCTCAATAAAGAAACGTTCTGGCACTTTTAATTACAAAGAAAGAAAACAAATACCTTTTCTTCAGAATATATAGGTGACCTACGGGAGAATAAAAACCAGGTTGTCACTAGACCTCTAATCGTATGCACTACTAAATTTTAAGAGAAAACATCACTTACAGAGTTTGGAAGAACAAAGTAAATTGGCCCCAGATTTCTCACCCAGCCAAGTTGCCAGTCATGTGGCATATTCTCAGAGATGCAAGAGCTCAGAATATACATCACCCACACTTTCTTGAAAATTATTTAAAGGCGAGCTAAAGAGGACGGCAAGATGAAGTAAAATTAAAAGTTCAGGGATGGGGAAGTCGTGTAAGGATAAGCAGTAAGCATTAAAATCAGTGGAACCTGTTCCTGTGGAAAACAGCCATGAAAACTGTAACTCATATAAAAATTATGACAAGCATTAGAGATCCCAAACTCCAGATAATTTTACAGTAACAGAAACAGGAAGTAGGATGGGAGGTCACAGGGAGTAAGAACAGAGCATGCGCAGTGCTTCATGCCCTCGGGGAGAGGGGTCAGAAGATGCTATCTCATACTTTCCTCTGATGATGGGAGAAATGTAGGATTTAAAAAGATGTTTTTGGGTGAATTTAAACAATATTTTAAAAATTTTGGCCGGGCATTGTGGCTCACACCTGTAATTCCATCACTGGGAAGTTGAGGTGGGAGGATTGCTTGAACCCAGGAGTTCAAGACCAGCCTGGACATGGTGAAATCTCCATCTCTACCAAAAAAAAAAAAAACACACAGACACACACACAGAAGTGACCCGCTTGATGGCATGTGCCTGTAGTCCCAGCTACTTGGGAGACTGAGGTAGGAGGATTGCTTGAGCACAGGAGGTCAAGGCTGCAGTGAGCCATGATCGCACTACTACACTCCAGCCTGGGTGGCAGAGTGAGATCCTATCTCAAAAATAAATAAAAATAAAAAATAATTTTAAAAAATTCTAGAAAAAATAAATGCAAAGAAAACAGAGTATAGTAAAAGACTGAAGGCCAGGTACAGTGGCTCAAGCCTGAAATCCCAGCACTTTGGGAAGCCGAGGTGGGCAGATCACGAGGTCAGGAGTTCAAGACCAGTCTGGCCAACATAGTGAAACCCCATCTCTACTAAAAATACAAAAAATTAGCCTGGTGTGGTGGTGGGCACCTGTAATCCCAGCTACTTGGGAGGCTGAGGTAGGAGAATGGCCTGAACCGGGGAGGCAGAGGTTGCAGTGAGCCGAGATTGCACCATTGCATGCCAGCCCAGGCGACAGTGGGAGACTCATCTCAAAAAAAAGCAAGCAATTAGGAGACAGAGGGGTGATAACAAGTGAAGCCCCACAGGACAGAGGCAGCCAAGAAGTAGGGGCGGTTTAAAAACGTACTGGAATTGGGCTGCCTGGGTTTTCAGCCCCTGCCCTTGTTAGCTGGGTGACCTTGTCCTAGGTACTACTTAATCTCTCCAAGCCTCAGCTTCCCCATCTATAAAATGTGGATACCAAGTAGGGTTACTATGGAGGTTAGTTAATATGTCCAAGGTGCTGAGTACCTTACCAGGTACATACTTGTGGGTACAAATATTGAGGATAAGGTAACAGGTTAAGCTGCCCACCATTTTCAGATGGGGTGTTTTGCTAAAATTCAGCGATATCCTATGAATGAGACCTACACCTAAAGTAAAATGATCCATAAACACTGAGAAAAAGGATGGGCAGGGATGTATGAGATGAAAAGAAAGAAAGCAATGGAAGTAGAATTGCCCCGAGTCAGGAAACTCTATACACCTGGATGGAGAAAGCTGAGTCAGAGGCTTGTACCACTAACATGCCTTGGAAATCTAGAACAATTTAAAGTCTAAGCTTGTTGCACGAATTATCAGAAAGTTGAAGAAGATAAAATACATGGCCCTGAAAACAGAGCCTAATATTAACAGAAGCCGTGTGGACCAATGGGAAAGATAGGGCTTGTTCCATTAATAATGTTGAGAAGTTGTCTGAACATTTGGAGGAAAACAAATTAGATCCTGCGTCACACTATACACCAAAATAAATTTCAAATGGTCTTAAAAGTTAAATATAAAAAAGAAGATATTTAAAACTTAGGTGAGTATTAAGCTGATCTCAGGGCAAGGTTTTTGTAAGCCTAAAAAAAATGGAAGAAATTAAAGGAAATGTTTGACAGATTTAACTGCATAGTAAGTTAAACTTCTCTGTTTCTAGAAGAATGGTGACATGTATCACAGTTTGCAGCAACTATGACAAAGGGCTCTTATCATTTATATCTCAACAACTCTTCTGACACAGTAAGAAAACTTGTTACTACCTTCTAGAAAACTTGAGAGTAAGTCAGGCAAAAATAAATACAAATGGGCGAATAACCATGGGGAAAATTTAACCTCAAAAATAAGAAAGTCAGAATTACAGTGTTACTCTTTACTGTTCTCACCACATCTTGATATGGTTTTGGTAGGATTTTGGTAATCTTTTAGAGGAGTAATTTGGCAATGTATGCCAAGAATCTTGAATAATTTTCTATCCTTTAATCTACTTCCAAGAATGTATTCTTATTCTTCTCTGCATCAGAAATGCTGTGGCATTCTTAAACACACAGGGTATGACCAGACCTGCACAGCATAAATAGAACAAGAAAAAAGTATCAGAAATTTCAATGAATATTTATGCACAAAGATGGTCAGTTGCTATATTATTTGTAAAAGTGAAAAATGATAAAGTTTGTAGATGCCCCCAAACAGGGAATTAATTAAATTCTGATTAGCCATAAAATGAGATGTTAGATATTTAAAATGTTTTCAAAGCATACTTTGTTACAAAGGCAGGATCTAAAACTTTCTTTCTAGTGTGATGTGAATTCTATAAAAGTGAATATTTCATTGTAGGTAGATGTGGAAGATACTGGCCCTAAATACGCTAATGTGCCAATGTTCGTTCTCCCATACAGAAGTATAGTTGTTTTAGATTTCTTCTTTATCTTTTTTTTTTCCTTTCTTGAGACAGAGTCTTGCTCTGTCGCCCAGGCTGGAGTGCAGTGGCATGATCTCAGCTCACTGCAAGCTCTGCCTCCCAGGTTCACGCCTGGGAGTGAACTCTTCTGCCTCATCCTCCCAAGTGGCTGGGATTACAGGTGCCCACCGCCACACCTGGCTAATTTTTTGTATTTTTAGTAGAGATAGGGTTTCCCCATGTTAGCCAGGATGGTCTCGATCTCCTGACCTCGTGAATCCACCTACTCGGCCTCCCAAAGTGCTGGGATTACGAGCCACTGCACCAAGCCTCTTCTTCATACTTTTATGTCTTTAAATTTCTTGTATGATGGGTGTACCCATTACTCCTATAAGAAGAAGAAATTTTTCTTAAAATAAATATCTTCCTACATTGTTTTAGTAGAATTGTTTCAGTCTCTCATAACCTGGAAAATATTTCTCTCACAACGAGGTCTCATTTTCTTTTGAAACATCAGAGTTATAAAACCTTAATATAAAATTTTATGTTCCACTAATTGTAAAAGGGAAAGTAATGAAATATTTATTATCTTTTTCCAAGGACTAAACATTGCTCTTTCTCATCTTACACCATAGTCCTCCGAATTCTCTTTATGTAAGTTTTGTTCCAGTAGAACTTTGGTTGATGAGTTGCTGACCCGTGTTTTCCAGTACGTGAATGGGACAGAGATTCATTCTTATCATCAAGCAGCCAGCCTCACCAGCCAAACAGAATATTCACTAAATAGGTTCCAAATAGGAAAACGGTTCCTGTCCCTCAGTCCAGGTTTGTGTACGGGGCCATATGACGCTGGGAGGCGATGTCTGAGCAGATGTATTTTTAGTGTTATCTCATTCTTCTCGCCTTTGTCTCTGGTAATAAGGAAACAAATATCACAAAATTTAGGGGTCGTTATTTCTAAACATGAAAGAGATCACATCAGAAATTCGGCAGCATTCATAAACACAGACGGTGTCAACAGACTTGATACAGCATAAATAGAACAAATGCAGTGAACCAGACAGCACCCAGACCCAGTTTGTACACAGAATCTCAGTCTGTAATTACCCAAAAATTGTTCATCGTGGTTGATGACACCTGTGCATTTTATTTCCTGAAATCTAGAGAAGTTCCACGTGATCATTATTTAACCAAGAGCAAAAGTCTGTTTCTGACCCGTTTTTCCTGTAAGTGGAGATACATCATATGCTCTTTTGTCTTTTGTGGGTGCAGAGATTCTTTCTTCAAAGCATTTAACGTTTTCAAAAAAGTGTGCGACTCCTTTTGGCCTGGCTTTCTTCGCCCGTGAAAAGGCCTGGGTGGTTTTTCCTTGTCCAAGAGTCCCTCCAAATGGACGCTTTATGTACTGCAACCCAGAGCTGAGAAGTTTCCAAGCTTTCCTGTCTGCGTTAGCGTTCCAGTCATTCAGCAAGAATCTATGAGTGCAGATTTTATCTTGTCTGTCTCGTGTAGTTGCCCTGGGGAAGTAATACCTGGGGGTAGGAGGGGTTGTGGCCCTTGCCCTCAAGGTGCTGTCAGTCTGTAGACATGGAACACCTTTGGGCTGGGCTAGGCTGGCAGGAGAGTGGAAGGGCAGAGGAAATGGGTCTTGTGCAAGGCTAAGTGCTGACAGCACTGAGATGGATGGGGGAGTGTCCCCAGCGATGGGGCAGTGTGGACCCAGAAGCACAGAGCAAGGTGGGCACGGAGATACACGTGTTCAGCAGTTACTCAGTTCACGCACGGTGCTGTGCTAGGCAGTGGGGGTTCAAAAGAAGTAAAAACAGAGAGTAGCCTTGTTGGTACAGAGTGGTTCTTTTGGGTTATATAAATACTAAATGTGACAGGTTGCATGCAGTTAAGTATTTAACATATAGAACCAACCTGTCAGAACCAATGCCAGCTCCGAAGTCATATCAGCATCTGCTAGAGGAGTGTGGGCCAGAGGACAGAGCACCACTGACATTTAGAGGTGTTCAAGTAAATGGTAGGAAACAGGTTAGAGGCCTGTTTTCCATATTGGGAACCTCAAAGGTACTGTAACCAAGTGCCACTCAAGCTATGATAGAGAATCTCTCAGTTCTAACTTGTTAATGGGAGCAGAATATGATTTTTTTGTTGCTTCTGGCCAAATGATTCTAGTGAATCAGTCTGACGAGTGGCAGTGCCTGGGCTGCTACCCACGACCAACTCACCCGTCCTGTCGACTCTTCATTGTTCATGCTTGAGAAATCAGTTACCTCCTTATGCCATGGAGGGCCTGACCACAGTGCATGCCCACCAATGGGAAGACGTGCCCACACCAGTGGCAGGATATGCCACCACCATCATGGACCAACCACCCAACGCCTCCTATCCAAAGGCAGATCCCAGCGAGCGCTTGCTCTCTGTTGCCGGGACTTCTCCCAGCTCCAAAACCGCCTTAGTCTGATCTAATAATATACCTTTTTAACTGGGTGGCTCATAAGCAACAGAAGTTTACTTCTCACAATTATGGAGGCTGGAGACTCCGAGATCAGGGCACAGGAAAACTCAGTGGCTAGGGAGGGCCCATTTTCCGATAGCCCCACGTCCTCACACGGTGGAAGGGCAAACCAGCTCCCTCGGGCTTCTCTTATAAGGACACTGATCCTCTTCATGGAGGCTCTGCCCTCCTGGTCTAATCACCTCCCAAAGGCCCCTCCTCTTAATGCCATTGCCTTGGGGGTTAGGATTTCAAACACGAATTGGGGGCAGGAGGCACAAACATTCAGACCACAGCACAGAGCTCTTCCCTTCCCTAGCCAAAGCAGGAATGACCTGGAGGAAGCCTGCTGTCCCTTTGCACACAGGTTCTGAAAGTGCGTGGGGAGAGGACGATCCCTCGGTCCCTGCGGAACCAGGCTCTTGAAGCATACAACAGAGGTTCTCTACCCAGGGCCTCCCCTAGAATGTCATAAAAACTGCAGTGTTGTATTAAAGAGGTGCATGGCTTAAAGAGAATGGAGAATGCCCAGCCCAGAGTGTTTTAGGATGTGCCTGTTATCCAAAGTTAAAGCCTGTGTGTGTCAGGAGTGTCACTTGGGGGCTACACTTCCCAGCCCCCTCTCCTGCGGCAGCCGGAGCCTGCCTGGGCCCCTTCTGAAACGGCTTTCTGTGCCCACATGACAGCCCCTAGCAATGCCAGTTCTGATTCCTCCCAGGGTCCCATGCCAGCTGACCCAGCAGTGCCTGTAACATGTCCCATCCTTGCCAGGGCTTGTGTGCCTGCACGGTTTTAGAGGCTCCAAGTCAGAGCCCCTAAACCCAGAACCCTGCCTTATTGCTAGACAGCTTGACCGCCCCCGGAATATCACGTGGGAAGGGCGTTCGGTAAATCCTGTTCTGGAAGCAATCTGTCACTCCACCAGTTTCCCAATCAACATTTGCCGAGGAGTTCTGGCTCCCGGTGCAGAACTGACTCGTGGCGACGTGAGGGAACTGGCAGCTTCTTAGACCCAAGTTCTCCCTCGCAGCATCGTCAGAAGAGGCCCAAAGTAGAGACGCAAACAAACCTCAAGAACAGCATGTTCTTCCCGGTAACGTGACCGGGAAAATGTGAGCCGGAGGAAACTTGAGAGCTCCGTGGTGCAGCTGAGCTGGTGGGGTGAGGGATTTTTCCCTTTTTCTATCTGGTCCAGCCCATTGGCCACTGGAGATGCTCCTGAACTGAGTAACCAAGCTGTTAGGAGGGTACTTTCTCAGCAGCACCAGCCCTGAACTCTGGAAAAACGCAGCTAGAATAACGAGGAAGCAGGGGAGCCTCTCCCACACCAGGCTTGCCCAGACAGGTCAGCTTGCTTGTGGCCCAGTGCTACTGTGCACATGTTCATTTAAAATCCGTATTTCCGAGGCAGCCGTTGCATAATTAAAGAATGGCCCTGTGGATATCCTGTGGCGCTCCCTGTTTGCACTTGCTCCTGGGTGGGACTAAGGTGTGGGAACGGCTGGGGAAGCCTGAACAAGGTGGGGTTGGCCAATTGCAACAGGTCGCGGCCAGATCAGACGCCCCAAAGAGGAGGCTGTGCGTCAGGTTTGTCCAGGAGTGCCAACTGCTGCACCAGAAAAGCCAGGACAAAAGAAGCAAGCATAAGGTGCACATGAGAGGTGCTGGTTTCTGAAGGTTCTGCTAAGACAGGAGAAGATGGATTCACATACTTCTCCCCACACCCCGCCCCCAGCCCAGAACCCCTTCCTTGCTTTAGCACAAGGTCAGTTCAGAGACTCAAATCAAAGCAGAAGGAAGCTAAGGGAAGTAGAGCTTTCTCTTTTGTGTCACTTTCTCCTCAAACAACTCACTGTGTTGGTGGGGTAGTGTTTGTTCTATGCTGGGGGTCAGTAAACTACGGCCCAAGGTCCAAATCTGACCCACAGCCTATTTTTTTTTTTTTTTTTTTTTTGAGACTGAATCTCACTCTGTCGCCCAGGCTGGAGCACAGTGGCGCGATCTCGGCTCACTGAAACCTCTGCCTCCTGGGTTGAAGCAATCATCCTGCCTCAGACTCCTGAGTGGCTGGGACTACAGGTGCACACCGCTATACCCAGCTAATTTGTATTTTAATAGAGACAGGTTTTCACAGTGTTGGCCAGGCTGGTCTCGAGCTCCTGAGCTCAGGCAATCCACCCACCTTGGCCTCCCGAAGTGCTAGGATTACAGGCATGAGCCACCATGCCTGGCCTATTTTTTAAATAAAGTTTTATTGGAACACAGCTGCGTTCATTTGTTCACATATTGTCTGTGTCTGCTTTCGCTTCACAATAGACCTGAATAGTGGCAGTAGAGACTTCGTGACCTGCAAAGCCTAAACGACTGGTGATCTGGCTCTTTTTAGAAAAGGTTTGCTATCTCCTGTTCCACACAAATAGGTGAACCTGAATGCAGAGGTCACCTTGTGGGGACCACACAGAGGTTAATGCCCAGGCCCCTGAGGCAGGACTGAGTTGCACTCCTGACTCCATCCCTTACTAAATGTCCAACCTTGAGCAGGTTTGTTAACATCTCTCTGCCTTGGTTTTGTCATCTGGAAAGTGGGCATCTGAGTCATTATTTCACAGGAGTGCTGTGAGTATTAAGTGAGTGGGTGTATTAAAGCACGTGGAAACCTGTCAGTAAAGTCCTCTTTGTTAATTCAGATATAACTCACAGGTCATAATATTCACCCTTAAAAAATGTACAGTGTAGTGGTTTTCAGTATATTCACAAGATTGTGCAACCACCACCACTGTCCAACCCAGAACATTTTCATCACTCTAAGAAGAAATTCCTCAGTAATACTTGTAGTAGGATGAATAACAACCACCCGAAGACATCAGATCTTAATCCCTGGAATCTATAAATGTGCCCTTAATTTGGAAAAGGGGTCTTTGCAAATGTGATAGAGTTAAACATGTTGAGGTGGGGAAATTATTCTGGATGATTTGGATGGGCCCTAAATGTAATCACGTGTATCCTTAGAGAAGCATAGAGAGAAATTATAGGTACAGAGAAGAAGGTGATGTGGCCACGAGCCAAGTCATGCCTGCTGCCACTGGAAGCTGGAAAAGGCCTGGAGTGGATTTTCCTCTAGAGCTTCCAAAAGGAACATGGCCCTGTGGAGCCCCTGATTTTGGCCTGGTGATGTGAATGTTGGACTCCTGACCTCCAGAGCTGCGAGACAATACGTTTCTCTTGTCTTAACCAGAAAGTTTGTGATACTTTGTTCCAGCAGCCACAGGAAACTGAGGATACCTATTGGGAAGATTATTATTGATGTCATCCTGCTAGCAGAAAGCAGGCCAGAGCTAGAGTTAAGTCCTGGGATCTGAACTGGGGCAGTATGAGCTTTAGCATACTCTACTTAGTGGTGGTGAAGCCTACTTCAGCCAACAGTCATTCATCTGGCAGGGACCAAACATTTTCAGAACCCACAACTTTTCCCCACACCACTTATTTTTTTTGTTTCCTCCTGCATAGGGTTAAACAGTCCTTGTTGCCTGAAAAAAAAAAAAAAAAAAAAAAAAAGGACAATCCCAGCCACCCAACAGGCTTCTCGCAGTATGCACACCACTGTCATTGGGAACATTACTGTAGGGAAATGAACACTGTTTTAGATACATTTATGCTATTTTGTGGAGTATCATTTTTCCTTGGTTTCAATATTTGTTTTGTGGCCTTAAAAATCTCTACATCAGTGCAAATTTACCCAGCTCGTTTTCACACCCACTGCAATCTTCTTTTCCCTCTATGCTTTCCATGTGCTGTTTGTCCTAGAATTGGTAACTGCAGCAGAGAGAGAGAGAGAACCCACTGAAGCACCATTTCCTCTCTGGTGACGTGGTTGCTGGGTACTCACTGGTTACGTGGTCACTGGTTACGTGGTCACTGGTTATGTGGTCACTGGTTACGTGGTCACTGGGTACATCATGGTCTTCGTTGATTCAGTCACTGGCCTGTTGGTTCTTAGGCAGATGTCAGCACATTCCAGCTGTAGTGACTGGAACACCCCAGTGTACTAAAAGGTTTGTTGGTTTTAGAATTACATCCCTGAAGCTACTACACTCACCCCTTTAAATCAGGTGCAGCACCTTTAAACCCTTCACTAAGTTGAAGGCACCAAAGCACAGACACAGCTCTGCAGGCTTTACCTGCCTTCCCACCACCCCTATAGGCACACCCAGGGCTCAGTACAGCACTGCAAGGTGTGTGTTCACTTTTCCCTCTGTGCTCTTTGGCCACCCATCCTTCTAGTGGAAGAGCGTTTCCTTTCCTCCTCATTTTCCTGAGCAACCTTCTCCTCCATCGCCTCCTAGCTGAGGCTGACTTCCCCACCTCTTCTCTGGGACTTTGTCTTGCTCAAGTCATTTCTATACAACAGCAAGCAAAAGTGGAGTTTTGTACAATCACTAGCTCGCCCCAGCTTGACTACTCATTGGCTTTGTGTAGTGGACAGGTGATTTCACCTCTCTCTGCCTGAAGGCCCTATCTGCAAATGGGCTTGATAATAGCATCTTTTTACATTAAATTAAATTATAGATCTAAAGTCCTTTGAGAGAACATTCTGGGTATCTAATAATTATCAAAATAACGAATTCTCTGGGTTTGAAGTCATTTTTTATTCCTCAAAGACAAGGCTCATGGGTTTGGGAAGCGTCCCTCACTCCATGGCGTGGTGTTGAATGACATGAAGTTCTTTCGACCACAGACACTACATCTCGCCTGTTTCCAGCACTTATCTGCCCTTCCACCAACATCTTTGCATTCACGTTTCTTTTGCTGTTGGTAACTTCAAACAAAGAAGAGTTTGTTTGTTTGTTTGTTTGTTTTTTCTGCAGTGTCAGAGAACATTTTTGCTCATGCCTGGTGTGGAGTAGGATTGGAGAATTTTGTTTACTCTTGCTTTTGCTGTCAGGCAGGGGTGGAGGTGGGAGGTGTCACTGGTTCAGCACACACTGAACAATCCTGACTTTTGCAGTAATTCTGTTTTGAGCCTTTGTCCTTGTTCTTGGCTTTTAAGTAGAAGCCAGGAACAAGGGTGCTCTTAGATGGGGGAGAAAGAGCAATAAAAACAGAGAATTATTTCCTAAAGCAAAACAGATCATTTGAAGGGCCATGTTGTCCTTAAATCTGGAGACACTTGACTTTTGTACATTACTAAACAATGTCCCCATATAGACATGAACCCTCTGATGGGCGGGGTCACTGTGGGTCAGTGCTGACAACTCTGGTCCGCAGGCAACAGGGATACAGCTGTGTCCTCAACAAAGCTTTTGGTGTATGTGCCCATGGATGAATCCTTCAGAACCTCTGCATGACCGTGACCTTACTTTGACCCATTGCCCAGCTGGAGCACCCTCAGAGTGAGGTTAAAAATCCACAGTGGGGGGGGTGGGGGAGAGGTGGGAAAGGGGCACACGCTGGGTGGGTTCCGCAGTGTTGCCACCAATCTAGCTTTCATGCGAGGTGATGAGTCATGGGTGTTTATCATTCCACCCCATCATTTATGCTACATATATTCTCTGGATTAAGAAACCACCTGGAGGGGCTGGGTGCGGTGGCTCAGGCCTGTGTAATCCCAGCACTTTGGGAGGCCAAGGCGAGTGGATCACTTGAGGTCAGGAGTTCAAGACCAGCCTGGCCAACATGGCGAAACCCCGTCTACTGAAAATACAAAAGTTAGCCAGGCGGTGCTTGTAGTCCCAGCTACTCTAGAGGCTGACGCAGGAGAATCGCTTGAACCCAGGAGGTGGAGGTTGCAGTGAGCCAAGATCGCACCACTGCTTTCCAGCCTGGGCAGCAGAGTGAGACTCCATCTCAAAAAACAGAAGGAAAACATCTGGATCGTTCTCTGAATGGATCAAGGATTGCAATGAGTTATTTTTTTTTTAATTGCAAATTATTTTGGAACACCTCGTTGCTGACTGTTTCACTGTAGCCTAATGTGGTCTGTTACCCTGAGGAAACAGCCCTGTTTCTGGGGTCAGAGAGAACTGAATGATGGTGGGGGTAGAGGTGGTGATGGCAATGATGATAAAGATAGCAAATGCTTCTTTAATACTACCATTACTAATAATAGCAAATACATAACACTTCCTTTGTCCTGGGTTCTCTTCTAAATTCTTTGCGTCTATCAATTCACTTAGTTTCACAACAGCCCTGTGGGATGGGCACTGTTATTGTCCCTGTCTTACAGATGAACAAACTGCAAAGTTGGGTAATTTATCCAAAGCCATCCAGCTAACAAGTGGCAGGCAGAGATTTGACCCTAGCTACCCACACTCTTGACCCTAAGTGATGCTGCCCCTGAGAAGTCACCCACCACCCGGAGCACCCATTCAAGCAGAGACAGCCTGGCTTTCCCCGGTGCGCCATCAGATGTGCATCCCTCACTCAGGCGCCTGGAAGCCTTTGTGGGCGCACCTTGCTTCTCCCAGAGAAAGGGGTCACTCCTGCCTGGCTTCCTGCCTGGGTCCACATCTCCACTTTTCATCAAGCAGGCTCTTGGCAAAATCACCGGCTTCATCGCCTAGCCTGCACTGTGCCATGTACTGTGGTGCCCCTGTGGCTTCGATTCTCCAATCCGGCTAGGGCGGCCCAGTCCTCTGAGCTGATGAGACAGCCCGTCTGCCTGTATCCCCACCCCATTCCTCAACATTGACTTAAAACTCTGCAACTCTCATGTCCTGGGCTGCCGAGCCACCTGCATCAGGGATCACTGGGTAGGTGGTTCTCAGTCTTCATCATCTCATTTGAATGAGCTTTATCCAGAAATGATAGGTTCCATGATCAGGAAATTATATAACCTTCTAACCCAGGCTGTTTTTTTCACAGTGCCAGGCTTGACAGCTGATAATTTCAGAGCAGCCATCTGAAGCCAAAAATATGGGAATATAATTAGTATTCTATATTTCTATTAAAGTTCTGGAATTACAGAACAGACTTTCTATTCTGAAATGGCCAGTACCGTGGCACAGATGTATTTCCTCAGCAGATGTCTCCTCCTCATAAAGGCTGCAGAACTGCTAATGAGCTGTGATAGAAAACCATTCTTCCCGCGTTCCCTGCCATTTGGGTAGACCTCGGGAAGCAGTCAGTGCTTCTGCAGCTGAATGAGCAAGGGAAGTGTGTTGTTTCTATACTGTTGGGTTTAGAGACCTATCTTTTGGAACTTGAGTTGGCATGATAGATCTTTTAAAAAAAAAAATCTCATTTTCAATATTGTATGTATCAAAGTAGTGTGATTTTTTTGTGTGTATTTCCTTAGCTTGATTCTGTGGGTCGAAACAAGTTGGTTCTTGCAGAAAATGAAAGACAAGAAGTGAGCCGTGGGACCGGTGCCAGGTCTGTTCTTCTTGGACCCAGTACTGCTGTTAGGCTGTGGAATATTCCACTTCCTTAATAACCGCGGAATTGGCATTCCCTCCAACTGTGCTTCCCAAGTGTGGGATGGGGCCACTGATGGGTGTGACTTCTGGTTGCACTTAAGGTGATTTCTGAAGGTACTATACGGATGTTAAAAAATCTTAAATTACATGATGAGTTAGTTATTCCCAATTTTCTGTCCATCTCAGTTGAAGCAGCAAAGATTTCTGGGGCTGGAATATCCTTAAAACTCTAGCACTTGTTAATTTCCCCTTTGTAGCTAAGAGACTGAAGATCTCAGGCAACTGGATCCAGCTAGAAATGAATAACATCGATTTTCGTTGTGTTTACTTTTCTGGTTACCTTCCATTTATGACAAACAATCTTGGTTTTCTGTTTCCTGTAGTGATACATTTCCTTTTTAAATGATGGCTATTAAAAAGGGAGCCAATTTAAAGAAAAATGTGAATAATAGTCGAAGTCTTCAAATGATGTCGGTGTGTTAGGCCAGGGAGCACACTCGGAGAACGAGTGCTGAGTGCAGTGAAGAGTGCTGGCTGCACTTGAGGGTTCTCTGGGGAGCTTCACCATCCTGATGCCTGGGCCTCAACCCAGACCAAGTAGATCTGACTCTCTGAGGGCGCGGCCCAGGGATCACTGTTTGACTAAAACATCCCAGGTGTTTCCAGGGTATAGCTGAGGTTGAGAACGTCTGCCCACCTATCCTGTGGCGACGTCCCCACCCTCTGACTCCACATCTTTTTTTGGCAGGTGGGGGGATAGAGTCTCACTGTGTGGCCCAGGCTGGAGTGCAGTGGCACGATCTCGGCTCACTGCAGCCTCTGCCTCCTGGGTTCAAGCGATTCTCATGCCTCAATCTCCTGTGTGGGATCACAGGTGCCTACCAGCACACCCGGCTCCTTTTTGTATTTTTAGTAGAAACGGGGTTTCACCATGTTGGCCAGACCAGTCTCAAACTCCCAACAGCATGTGATCCACCCACCTCAGCCTCCCAAAGTGTTGGGATTTGACTCCACTTCTCGATCGCGTCTTTCCCTTGTTTCTCTCTTCTGTCTCTAGCCCTTATTCTCATCTGCTTCCCCACTTCAATTTTCCTCTTATTTTCTCTTACCTAGCTTCCCCTCTTCCAGCTTCCTTACAACTACTCCTATGAGTAATGCCCCCTAGCATTGTCTCTTAGCCTGACGTTCTTGAAACCATACAGTTGCAACCCTGTTAGAACATTGCCACACTGTACTGTTTTCCCTGGCATTTGCTTGCCACTCCGTAAGCTGTCAGTGCAGTTTCTGCGCATCTAAGGCTAGTCGATTTTGTTCTCCACCAGTAACTTATATTAAGAGCAATTATGATCATCGCTATTATGCTCTCACCGTGTGCCTATCACTGCTCTAAGCACTTTACATGTATGAGCCTACATAATCCTGACTTGAAGGAGATATAATTTTCCAGATGAGGAAACTTAGGGAGATAAAATAGCTTGTCCACAGCCACAGAGTGGCAGAGCCAGAACGCAAACGCAGGCAGCCTTGCCCCAGATCCTACACTCTGAGATGGGACCCCAAGTTAGTTGCTCATAATCCTGATTCAGGTGTCCTGGCATGCCATGAGACACACATCACACAGGCTGTTCTCTGCTGTGATAAGAAATTGAAATTTGCACCCACTGTCTGCTTCAATGACATTTGGAATTGATAACTTTTTATTTTCAACTTATTTTATTTGCAACTTAAATGATAGTATCTCAGTAGGAAGCTCACAGCTTTAAATCCCATCAAGATTTTAACTCATCACCATTCAGAAGAGATCCTACTTAAATGATTTTTTGTGTGTGTTGTCTGTCAGGAATATAAATTGAAGATATAAAAGCCAGCACCCGCAATAATTCTGCAACTGGCAGGAGGCAACGCAGGACCTCTTGGTGGCCTTGATAAGGGTCTTCTTTGGCTTGTCCAGGATGTGACCTTCTGCAGCCTCCAGTGTTAGACATTCCAGGGCATTTTCTGCCTTTTAAAAAGCATCTGATTCTCATTCTGGTGTTTAATCAGAGAGAGAGCGCTGGCCTCTTTCCATTCCTCATGGGAGAGCTCCATTTTTGTGCTCATCTTTGGTGATACTCAGGTTTGATGTTTTAGTGGGCTAGACCTTCTGCATTGGATTAAAACCTTTCACATGAGCTTGATGAATTATCCAGTGACCAAGTCCCCTGGGGGCCTTCAGCCCTGTGGATTTCAGCATGATAAGAGTGGAAACGAGTCCATCATGCCTGGGGTGTAGTGAGCAATCACATCGTGGATTTTTTTTTTTTTTTTCATTTTCCAAGCCCCTAACCATGTAAGGTGTTTTATAAACATTATTTTATTTGATTCTCTCAACAATTCTATACTACTGGAATTACGCCCCTCTTCATTTTTCTAGATGAAGAAACATAGGCTCAGAGACAAAGCTTCCCAGTGCTCAGGGTTACATGGTGAAGGAGGCAGAGTTCGCACGTACACCTGCTGAGCCACAGGGACCATGCCTGTGTGTTTTATTTATGTGCTATCTGCTCCCCGAGATGAATGAGGTTAGATATTTTCTTAGGAGAAGAAATACTTGGAAGGCACAAATGGGGTACGAGAAACATATATTCAGCTTCTCTGTGGCTAGCAGGCCTGAGCCAGCCCCCTCCCCCTCTGTATTTGAATATAGTCCCATCTGTTACCCCCTGTGTAAGGCTGCCAGGTAAGGAGGATGTAAGGCTGTTGGCTGGCAGGAGGTGGCACACAGTAGGTCCACAGACTAGTAAAGGCAATGCCTGTCTCTGACTTCTGATCTTAGGGCTGTACCTCCCTCATTTGTGTCCAAAGACCCAACATCTTTAGGATTCTCCCCCCGCCCCCTCCCCATCTAACCCTGCCAACTGACAACTCCAGTGCCTTCTTCTAAAGTTCTTTTGTAATTCTTAATAATTAAACTATGCTGATAAACTATGCTAATTGCCTAGATCTGTGGTTCTGCAACATTTATGGACATCAGAATCACCCAGAGGCTTGATAAACACAGACCACTGGACCCCACCCCAGAGTTCTGATTCAGGAGATGATGCCAGTGCCGCCGGTCCAGGGACCACACTGTGGGAACCACTGGACCAGGGAGCCTGGTCCCAGTTATACGTGTGTTGATGGTGTCTGACCAGTTGCATATCTGGTAATTCAGCCTCACTGGGAAAGATGCCATGGGAAGATAATGAGGAAGGCATTTGGGGTAGGAGGCTCAGGCCTTTGTCCCTTCATCATAGCAGTAGATAATTACCTTTTACGTTGATGTGCAGTGGCGTTAGACAGCTTCTCACGGTTGTGAGCCTCTGCCAGCTCTTAAATCTCCGAGCCTGTTTTCTTCTGTGGACGAAATGGCCTTTCCTTCTAATTATTTTTGATTCCCATATCAGGTTTCTCAAGCTAGGATTGCATTGGAAGTGCCTGGAGGTTTTGTTAAAGTGAGGATTCTGAGTTATTAAGTCTGAGGTGGTACCCAAGGTTCTACATGTCTAATGAGGTCCCAGGTGATGTAGATGTCGCTGGTCCATGGACCAGCACCGGGCAGCAATTCTGAGTTACAGCTGTATACAGCAATGGTGCTTGCCCCTGCTGCCCAGTAGAATCACCCAAGGAGCTTTTAAAAATGAATATTTGAACCACATTCCTTGGAGATTCTAGTTTAATTCTGGGGATTAGAATTTTTAACTCCCCCATTCCTCAACTCCCTTGTGATTCCAATGTACAGTCAGAGTTGGAAGCCATCGGCCTTTACCCACAAAAAGGGATAACACCTTCTGGGAGGTCAGGTGCATGTGCGGCACCATGGACCAGGTCGGGCTGGTTGCCTCCATGCGGGGAGGGTGCACCATTACTCCTGGGGTGCTGCAGAGGTCACCTGGGAATCTTGTTAAATAATGGATTCTGCTTCAGCAGGTTTGGGGTGGGACCTGGGTCTCTGCATTTCTAATAGATATCTGAGTGTTGCTGATGCTGCCAGTCCAGGCTGGTGCTGAGTCCCAAGACCCACCCACAAGGGCCCACACGATGCCTGTTATCTCTGCCGGTGGTAGCAGTGGGTAGCTTTTCTCATGTCGAGCGTTAGAGGCGTTTGGCTTCCCACCATCTCTCTCCTTAAACGCCATCCTGACTTCTCTTTTACTCAGCTTGGTATTGGCACAGGACACTGGGCAATATAGGTCCGTTCTCTTTTTGTAATGTTTTCTTCCTTCTCTCTTCACAGTACGAGATGCAAAAAATCTAATCCCTATGGATCCAAATGGGCTTTCAGATCCTTATGTGAAGCTGAAACTTATTCCTGATCCCAAGAATGAAAGCAAACAAAAAACCAAAACCATCCGCTCCACACTAAATCCCCAGTGGAATGAGTCCTTTACATTGTAAGTGGTCTCTCCTTGATCAAATCTCGTTCCTATACACCATGCAGTTGCCCACCTCGTTGTTTGAGGTAATGAAGTAGGTTCATTATAAACGTCTTTAAACATGTCTTCAGTCCTAAGACCTCCTCAGGCTGCCATTAGGGAGGTAGCTATTAACACCTGTTTGATAGATAGTAATTTGATTTACCAAGAGTTGCATAATTCCAGCCTCAAATTATTATCATTATCTAACCTCGATAAACAATTCTCTGTAAGGTATTAAAGATGATGTAAAAATGTATCCGGTGTGTCCACCTCTCGATGGACTTAGGTTCTTTTGAGAGTTAGGAGAGGGCATAAGACAAGAATTTAAATAATTTTTAGACCACAGAATGAGTGAGTAATATAGGAGGTGTTATTGCCACTGAAACGGCAAGATCATTCTTGCCTTCAAAGAGAGAAGACTTCCTGGAAAAGGTGACACTTAAAGCCAGCCTGGGAGGGTTGCCAGGATTACAGAGGTAGAGATGGTAGAAGGGGAAGAAGGAAGGAGGGAATAAATAAGTCAGGAAGACTGAGTGCAGCTAAACAAAAGCAAGTGGTCCCCTTTGTAGACTAGTATACAGGAAGCAGTTTTTCTATGGACAACCAGAAAGGTAGCTGTCTATTCTAGAGGGACCAGCAAGCTCTGCTTTATAAAGGATCAGATAGTATGTATTTTAGGCCTTGTGGGTCATATAGCCTCTGTTGCACCTGTACAACTTTCTAGTGCCAAAGCAGCCATAGGCAATATGTAAACAAATAGCCATGGCTGGGTTCTAATAAAACTTTATTTATAAAAATAGACGGTGGGCTAGATTTGGCCCATGGGTCATAGTTTGTTAACTCCTCCTGTAGCGCTTTGGTTGCCAGCATAAGGGGTTGGTATTTTACGGGACCAGGAAGAGAATCAAATATACTATTTCTCTATCTCAGGCTCAAATCATGTACAGGTGGTATCTCCCAAGAAACCATGATCAAAATAACCTAGTGTTTGCCTGTGTGTGTGTCTTGTAGCAAATTGAAACCTTCAGACAAAGACCGACGACTGTCTGTAGAAATCTGGGACTGGGATCGAACAACAAGGAATGACTTCATGGGATCCCTTTCCTTTGGGGTTTCGGAGCTAATGAAGATGCCAGCCAGTGGATGGTATGGAAGCCGCTGAGGTTGAATATGTCTCAAAGCATCAGACCATTTAGACAGTTAGGTTTCAGTCTCTAAAATGTCAGTTGAGACCAGACATGGTGCCTCATGCCTATAATCCCAGCACTTCAAGAGGCCGAGGCAGGTGGATTGCTTGAGCCCTGAAGTTTGAGACCAGCCTGGGCAACATGGAGAAACCCCATCTCTACAAAAAATACAAAAATTAGCCAGACGTGGTGGTATAACCTGTAGTCCCAGCTACTCAGGAGGCTGAGGCTTGAGGATCGCTTGAGCCCAGGAGGTTGAGGCTGCTGTGAGCCGTGATTCACCACTGCCCTCCAGCCTGGGCAACAGAGCTACCCTGTCTCAAAAATATAAAAATTTTAAAAAGTCAAATGTCTACTTCTCTAGCTGTAGCCTCTCCATAGGATGCATTTCACAAAACAGCTTGACTAGAGGTTCAGGAGAAGGCTTGCTAAACTTGCGGTGGTAACTCTTTTTCTCCTGTCTTTGAAAGGTACAAGTTGCTTAACCAAGAAGAAGGTGAGTACTACAATGTACCCATTCCAGAAGGGGACGAAGAAGGAAACATGGAACTCAGGCAGAAATTCGAGGTGAGGATAACAAAATGCCTGGAAACACCTTTCCTGTAGAAAGCCTGACTTCAGGAACAGCGGAGATAGTGTGGTCACATTTTCGAAAGGCAAAAAAGTAATCTAAATGTTAATGATCTTTTTCTTTATTTAAAAACATAAATGTTGTTCACTCCCTTTCCTTTGCGAGCTGTTGACTTTTTATGACTCTTATCACTTAGAAAATGGAAACTGGAAATATCCCAGAAATGAAAGCATGGTTGATTCTTGCATAAGAGATCGATTTGCACATCACTGGGGAGAGAAGCAGCCTCTGAGGGGCAGGATTGTTCTTACAAAGGAAGACTTGTGCTCTTCTGAAAAGGAGGAAGTCATTTTGGCCTTTCCTTGGGAGCTCATTTGTGTGTAATCAGGCTATCATCTGAGACTTTTTTTTTCCCCCTACAGAAAGTACAAGGTTCCTAATTTTGTTCTGAAAGACCAGCTTAAACAAATATGCCTTTGTGTGTGATCCTTTTTTATCTATATTCCAAGTGTTCAGCAAAGGCCACCTCCTTCTCTTCTTCCTCTTGGTATTTTTGTTTGCCTCTGTCCCGGATTCCCTGTTCCTTACTTCTCTCTTTCTTCTCCTCTCTCTCCCTTCTCCTCTTCCTTTACCAGACATCTCAGCTTTTAGTAAACAGTTCTTTTCTCTAAGCACCTTCCTTATGTTTTAAAGTCACAACTTCTAATATTTTTCTGCTTCTCTCATCACGCTTCATTTTGGCTGTTCGAGGGACTCGTAGAGTAGCCTTTTCAGTCTGTGTGACTGGTTAATTCGTTTGTGAATCTTTCTCTTCTTCAGACTCATTAGAATTCCCCAGAATTTCCCCACTCTAGAGCAATACATGTGCACACGCACACATGTGTATAGGTGCTGAACTGTTACTGAAATGTTGACACTAAAGGGATGCTATTGCTCCTGTTTTCCTTCTTCTGTTGTTCTCTAAGAAACAGACAGATCTGGGGGGTGGGGAAGAGTGGTCTTGGGAGGATAATAAACCTCCTTCATGCACCCTGCAAAAGAAACATATAGGTCTTATCCAGAGAGAATGAATCCCAAAGGATGTAAAACATGCAGTTGTTCAAATTGCTTTGTTAAACTGATGTTTGGTTAAAGTCTATGTTGGTGGCAAATACTAAATGGCAGGGGCTCTGGTTAGATGTCCTTGGGAGCACGAACGAGTGAAATGATTCACAGGTGATAAATGGCAGTGAACAGCAGGCCTCAGGATTGAGGCAGTAGGGAGTGGTGGAGACTGGGGTAAGCTGGTAAGCTTGAGCCCTGTCTGCAGGTGGCAGCTACTGCTACCCTGCCGGACTTGATGTTTCTCACACATGAGTCCAGGCCTATGTTGCCAGATCTTCCTTCTTCAAGAGAAGACAGAAATCCAGGTTTTTATGTGATACATTCTGATTTATCTTAATGTTGGCAGAGTTCTAATGTTAAAACTTAGAACCAGGCCAGGTGCGGTGTCTCACTCCTGTAATCCCAGTACTTTGGGAGGTTGAGGCAGGCAGATCACTTGAGGTCAGGAGTTCAAGACTGGCCAACATGTCGAAACCCTATCTCTACTAAAAATACAAAAATTAGCTGGGTTTGGTGGCATGCGCTTGTACTGCCAGCTACTCCAGAGGCTGAGGCATGAGAATTGCTTAAACCTGGGAGGCGGAAGTTGCAGTGAGCCAAGTTCATGCCACTGCACTCCAGCTTGGGCAACAGAGCAAGACTCTGTCTCAAAAAAAAAAAAAAAATTTTAGAACTGTCCAGATGTGGTAGCTCACACCTGTAGTCCCAGCACTTTGGGAGGCCAAGGCAGGCAGGTTGCTTAAGCTCACAAGTTTGAAACCAGCCTGGGCAACGTGGCGAAACCCAGCCTCTACGAAAAATGCAAACACTAGCAGGGTGTGGTGGCATGCGCCCGTAATCCCAACTACTCGGTGGCTGAGGCACGAGAATCACTCGAACCCGGGAGGCAGAAGTTGCAGTGAGCGAAGATCACACCACTGTACTCCAGCCTGGGCAACAGAGTGAGACCCTGACTCAAGAAAACAAACAAAATCTTAGAACTCTGTGTAGGTCAAATGTGCATCTATTGCTTTAGACACCAGTAGGATCCAACCAGTCAGAACCAGCTGGCAGTCTCTGCTCTTCAAAAATAGAGGAGAGAAAAAATAATTTTAAAAAATTATTTGTATAGTTATATATATTAGAATATGTATAAATATAAATATGTGTGTGTATCTGTGTATCTACTATTTGTCTATCCATAGAAAAGAATGAGATTCTTTTCAAAGAGGCCTTATGATATTTAGAGCAATTCAAGTACAAAGATGAAAGTCAGGGTTTTTAGGCAGGTTCAAATGACTATGCCAGGCATAGCTCTTTTTCAATTTGTATTTCTTCCCTTGCTTCATTATCTGTTTCCACCCCTACCCTGCAGCTGAAGATGCAGACCCGGGGTACTAGAGAGGACCACCTTCTTGAGCCCCATCCCTGATGTCACACCACCTCTGTGACGGATGGATCCTTCTAGAGAGAGTTTCAGGACTGAGTGCCAGCATTCCTCAGCTGTCTCAGGCAGGGGAGGAACCTGAGGAGCCAGAAAGAACCTTCCTTACTGAACATTATGCCGTGGTGTTGATCACGAACAGTCACTGGGTCAGGGGCTGCTGGCGCAGAAAGAATGCATTCGAGGGAGGAACAGCACGGGCGTTCCCCATGGGGTTCCTCACAGTAATGTCTGAGACTTAGCTTTGCTGCTGGAGAAATATTGACCCACTCTTTGTGCTTCATTGTCGTGGCTTCCTGGTGAGTAAACCTCCTGTTTTTCTGGGCAGTGAGTTCAGCTTTTTATAAAGGTCAGAGTTCCAAACAAACAAAAACAAAATACAGGCCAGAGGCCCTGAGCAAACGCGAAGCATTTCTCTTGGGAGGCTGGTCAGAGGCCCTGGGTGCATTGCTGGTCACTATTCCTCCTCCTGAGAGGGCTGTGGACTTGGCAGGAGCGCCAGCCCGAGGCTGTGCAGCATCCTGGGGAGAGGTGGCGTCAGCAGAGTTGCATGGGGTGGAGGCTCTGCTCTTCAGCCTACTGAGGGCTATGCCTGGAGCATCTACATGAACTGCATTCTAGCCTTTGCTTTAAATACCTTTCAGCTTGCTTATAGTTCCTAGATTTTACTCGAATTACATTAGCTCATTTGCTTAGAGCATTTAAAAAAAAAAAACAACTGTGAGAGACTGGGCAGAAAGCCACTAGAGGATGGCGTCAAAAAGATGCTGAGAATTTTATGACAGCTGCCATGCTTCATTTTAAAAATGCATATTCAGATCTGATTTTAGGCAGGGGTTCAATCACATAATGGTGTTTTGTTGAGGTCTATAAATGTGAAAGTTGCAAGACTTCCCCAGTGCCAAGTTACTGGGAAGGGATGCACCAGGGCAGAAAGGCTGGCATCCACATTTGAGCAGTTCTGGGCGGCAGCCAGGCTTTGCAAACAGCGTGCCAGTTGGCATCAGGTCCAATTTGAAGCACCTCTTTGAGCCCCCACCCCGTTTCCTCCTTCTCAGTCTGTAGCGTGAGTGCTTCTCAGTGTCTCCAGGCTCCCCTCTCTGGGCCCTTTCTCGCCAAATAACTGCCTTTCTAACTTGCTTTCCATCACATTAGTCTTTTCTTCCCTACCCACTCTTTCATAGATATTTTGCCACCCTCCAGTAACAGTTTGATTCAGCTGAGTAAGATATTTTTGTTAAGTTCAATGATGAATCTGTATTGGTTGAAACACACATGAGGGTTCGTCCTGCTGGGAACAGGCATCACTCAGTGGCATCACACAGTGTCCAGTCTGTCCTTATCCTTCCATGTCCGGCTCTGTTTTCTAAAAAGGGTTCCCTCCATGCAGTTTTCGAATCCTTCTCCAGAAATCAAAAGTCATTCCGTTGGATGAAAGAGAAACCAAATGAGCATTTACAACTCTGCCACTGCGTTAGTATTCATTCGATAATTAGATGGAACATTTTTGCAATTTAAATGGTTGGTTCTCAAATCTTGGCAAACAGATTGATCAGTGAGTGGTGAGTGGAGCTCTTAGGAGCCAAGGAATATTCCAGGGTGGCTGGAGATGACCTTCGTCGCTAGTACAGATCCTGCTAGAGCCGTTCATTCTCCTACAAGACAAAACAAGCCAGAACCTTGATTGCGATATTCATGGACAGTGTGTCTGTGGGCCTTTAATCTGTTCCATGTTTGTCATCAAGTAAAGTACACATGGTCCCTGATTCACAAACATAAATAATGCATTTTTCCATTGGTTAAAGTAAGGTGCCAACCATGGTCTAAGCAGACAGTTCCTGCTTTCTGTGGAGCTTACGTTCTGTACCTGTGGGCCCTGCTGCAAAAATCTTTGGGAACAAAGCAGGGAGCTTATATCCCCTGTGCTGGCCAGTGATTCCCCTGAATCTCCGGGCACTATTGAGGACAAATGAGATTCCTGTTCTTTCCTCTCACTCCTTGATCTCTGCTCCCTGTGATCAGGCTCACGGCCAGAGTTGGGAAAAGGTCCACCTTGCATTAGAGGCAGTGCAGAGGATGGGTTAGCTCTGCTCAGCAAACTTCTTCTGTACATAGTCAGAGAATAAATATTTTAGGCTTTGTGGGCCATGCAGTGTCTGGTATAACACTCAACTCTGCCGTTGCAGCTCAAAAGAGCACAAATACATAAACAAATGAGTGTTGGTGTATTCCGATAACAAGTTACTTACAAAAACAGCAGACCAGACTTGGCCCAAGGGCCAGAGTTTGCCAACTTCTGGTTGAGCCCATAGGCTCTAGAATCAAATCCTAGTTTTGTCACTTATTTATTATGTGACCTCTCTGTGCATTGGCGTACTTAACTATAAATGGAAAAAAACAGGTCAGGGTAACTAGTTCTGTTTTTCTATTAGTTATAAATAGAAATAATATCCTGATACGATCGGATAT